GGGGGGGGGGGGGGGGGGGGGGGGGGGGGGGGGGGGGGGGGGGCGCAAGGGGGTATGTATCAAGTGCAGTTGCGAACGCTGCAGTCTAGGACACAGGGGATCACGCTCCTATTAGAGGTATCTATCAAGAGCACTCTGCGTGCCCCCCCTCCCTGCCCAAGTCAAAGCAAAGGCGACACCGTTTGTTTCGGGCACCGTCGGTGCGTCATAAGACGCAGGAATAAGAAAGCAACTTTGTTCTTCATGGATTCTCATTCTTTATTGATGTGAAGAAGCAATTTCATATTTCATTCTTCGTGTGAAGAAGCAATTCAATGCTTCGTGTGAAGAAGCAATCTAGACTAATTCTTCATGCCCCGTCATCGTGATGATCATCATCGATACACATCGTGTGCGGGACAAAACCGGTAAGGGCCTTCTCGAAACTTGATAACGAAGATGGCGAAGCAAAGAGAGAGGAGAGCTACATATGGTAGATGTCAACTTGTTGGTTGGTGTGCCTCGGAGCCCACCCAAGAACACAGCAACGGAAACGATACGAATGCTCGAGCCCCTTACAACCATCAAGCGCCTGTCCTTCGCATTGACAAAACCAGCGCGACGGGAAAGCAAAAAAATAGCACTGCGTGCAGGAACCCCTATGTGGTGAGCAAACACCCCCCGCAGATACAAAACACAGCACCAATCTCTCGACACCCTTGCGCTCGTTGCATGGAGCGCTGCCATTGGTGCCATCCTTCCGCCTAGTCACGTACTACCTTCCTAAGAACTCGTTGATCTCGGGCCAAAAAATATACAATACGGGTGCCCCATGCTTGTCCCGCGCTTTTTGCCGGAACGTCGCGGTACACGCTGGAACGGCAGGAAAATATGTAGATACCGCACCGAATTTTGTTGGGGCAATCAAAACCGGTGTCTCTTTTTCGAGACGGCAAAAGGAAAAAGAGCACACCCTTCGGCGTTGACATGTCGCTATTAGACGCTTGGTCAACGTCGATCGGCGAACGCCATGACGGGCCATGACGGGCGCAAGCCGCGCGCCCCTGGCGTAAGCAAGTGCTCCACAACTTGGAGGTCGATCACTCCTCCCACCCCACCAATCCCCGTCCCTGTGCATACACACGATCCTCCCCGCCCTAGCAAGCTCCTGGCGCCCTCGAGGGTGGCACAATCAAAACCACGCCACAGCGGTGACACAACGGTGTAGCAATATCAAGATAACGCTCCTCGATAGGCGAACCCATACCCGCCGACAGCAACGTTCCGGTGAAGCAAAGCCAACGATCGCTCATTTGACCGATGGCCAACAGCAGCGAGGCGTGCCTTAGCTTGACTGGAAGAATATTTACCTCGAGTGCCTCAACAGGCTGACACGATTTTCTCCTAGTGACCCCGCCCCAACTCCGTGGCAATCGCACGAACCCCCAGGTACAACCACAACCGCACCCACGACCGACGTCACCAGCAGCGCCCCCACCAGGGCGCAGTCAACACTACACCGACAGCAGCGGTAAGTAGCAGTTTCAGCAGGCGATCACGCCGACGCTACCACAACGGAAACCTTCTAGATAGAGAGATGAAAGATGGCCGCAGTTTATTGACTTGGGGGCAATTCTTTGTATGTACCACAGCGATGGCGTACGACCGATTGTGCGGCAAAACACCCCACGATGCCACGATGCCACCACCGACAACCATCCTGCAACAACAGCTGTGTACGGAAACCGGTCCACAGCCACAGCTGCTGCGGCGGCCGCACCGAGCGCGCCTCGACATACACGAGTTTTCTTGCTCTACTACGCCGTGTAGCGCAGAAAAAAGCAAGACCTAAAACAACTAATTGCGACGCCAGCTGCCGCCGGATTCCTGCCGGTTGCCGCCCCGCCCCCCGCCCTGCGGGTACTGGCCCCGGTAGCTGTTGTCCCCGCCGCCTCCATTGCGGTCGTTGTATCCTCCCCTGCGCCCACCCTTTGTTGACAGGGAGGAGAGGCCGGTTGAGGGATTGGGTGGGAGTGGGGGCTGAGAAAAAGCGGCATGAGGCACAAGAGACTCGACAAGCGGGGGGAAGCAGTGGCATACAGCTTACGTACCACCTGACGGGGCGGTTGAACCGCAGAAACCCGGAAATTCGGGTTAACCGGCTACTACAGTCGTCGTGGTCCCGGTGTTGCGGTCCATACAGTAGTGTCACAAAAAGTATATAACCGCTATTGAGGGCATCACCGCTGAACCAGATCGGCAGTCATGTTGTGGTTTGAATACCGAGATGCAGCCTTGCCACGAGATTGTGGGACCGCTATTCAGGGCATCCCGCTAAAGAGGGGACCCCCCCCCCCCCCCCCCCCCCCCCCCNGAGCGTTTCCTTCCTTGAACATCATCACCAACGTAATCGTAGCCAACAAACAAACACCGCAATGTAGCAAATTCACAAAATAACGCCGCCCCATCTATCTACACAAACCAGGGGAAAGCAAGCACCGCTACCATGTAACAAGACCATGACGACGACGACGACAACGACGACGACGACGACAACGACGACGACGACGACAACGACGACGACGACGACAACGACGACGACGACGACGATGCACCATGTAACTGCTGGAACCACCGCCGCCAACTCCGAAACCAAGAAAAAAACAACCACCGCTATTGCAAACAACCACACGACGACCGCTTGGTATGCCACAAGAGACAACCCTCGAACCTCTCAGGCGCAGGACTGACGAACTAACTGACTGACTGACTGACCATGTAACTGCTGTAACCGCCGCCGCCGCCGCCGCCGCCCCTGCCCCCGTAGCGCCGGCTGCCCGCGGAGAGGGCTACGCTGGTCGCGCCGAAGGTCTCCGTGTTGCGCATCCTCTCCCCGCCGCGGCCCCCGGGCATGTGACCCCTCCCATCAAGCGCGTCGCACGAGATTTCGTCGAAGAAGGAAGACTGAAAAGAGGGAGGGGGGACGAAAGGCATCGAGCCAAGTGTGTTGGGAATCAGACAAGATGTCTTTGGTGGCCGACAGGTAGGGAAAAGGCGCGCATCATTGTCTGACATAACGTGGGAAATGTCGGCGGAGACGGCAAAGGAGTGAGCAAAACGTCCTTCGGAGACGACAAAAACATGTTCTTGTCTTGATAGCTTGGGCCAGAACACACCTATTTGTACTCGACAACGCTTGTCTTGTTCTTGTGTTGATAGCCTGGGCCAGAGAACACGCCTGGTTGTACCTAACAACGTCACTTTCAGCGTGATCGCGACCACCAGCGACAGTTGAGACCCTACCAAAAGCCGCCTCACAACAAACGCCGAGCTCACACACAAGCTTCTGCCTATCCGAGACTTGAACGCAACCCAAGCCGTAAACACGAACCGCCAACAAAAAACACCAAATACCAGTCAAAAACACCAAGCAAACCTTGTTGTACTTCTTCACCACCACGGGGGGCTCCACCCACACCTCGCCTCCCCCGTCAGCCGCGCTCCGCGTATCCCCCGCCCCCCCGCCCGCCCGGGACGCGGAAGCCGCCGCCCCCGCCGCCGCCCCCGCGCTAGTAGCGTCAACCCCTGCTGCGCCCCCGCGGGCCCCCCCGCCACCGTCGGCATCCTCGCCGTCACCAACGCCCATGGTTCCTCCCTCCCCCAGGGATGATCCGTGCGCGTCCCCCCCGTTTGCGTCTCTGCCGTTTGCGGCGGCGGCGGGGTTGTAGTTGTTGATGATGCTGTCGTGGATGGATGCCGTTGAGAGGCTTCCCGCCAGCAGTGCCATTTCCTGTTTTTTTTTGGGGGGGGGAGGCGGGGGTTGCGCGAAGGCGGATAATCGGGGGGG